AGTGGAGAGAAAGCTGCTTTCTTCTAAGGACCAAAAACAAAAACAGAAACAAATTAAACCTCGAGCTTTCCATCAGCGACAAATGTACTTTTGACTCAATCACACATTTGAGACATTTTCCACTGAGTGGATCTGGATCTGCTGATAAACCCACATTCGTTGTTTGTTTGTTTTAATCTGAAAATGTGTTTATATGATTCTTGAAAATACTTTTGACTATAAACTTATACATGTGGTAGCCTATTTGAAGTTATCACTTACTATTTCATAATTGCTGCTAAAAAGTCATTGTTAAAATAATCTGTGACTCTAACTGTTCTTGTTTGAAAGAAATATGTCTTTTTAAGACACTGTCTTCTTTTACGCTCCTCATTTGACCCTCCTTTTTTTCTGATTCAATGTGTTGTTTAATTTGTTATTTATGATTAATTAATCAATAATTAATTTTCACAATCACAGAATCAAATGTCCTGTAAGTTGCTATGTCAAAGACCTGCCTGAAGATGGCAAACACACTCCACAGTAAACAAAACACAGCGCCATGGTCTCAGGAACACTGGGAAAGTAGGAGTGCTGGTGTCCCATTATCAACAGGGAGCCCTAGAGTTAAGAGTCAGGTCTTTCTTGTGACCTGGGCACCTAGAAGCAACCACCATGTGCTGAGTTGTGGGAACCTGCCCCATGCCCTGAGACTGGAAGCACGACCTTGGCTTTGTCCCACCTGCTATGGACTGAATTTAGCCCTCAGATTCATGTTGAAACCCTAATTTTCAATGTGACTGTTGAAATTAGGACCTCTAAAGACGTAATTGAGGTCATAATCGGGGGGGGGTCTCTGATCCAGCAGGATTCATGTTTTTACAAGGTCCAGAGAGCTCTCCTTTTTCTTCTCTCTCTCTAACTACCTTCCGCTCCATGGAAAGGCTGTGGGAAGACATGGTGAGAAGGTGGTATTTGCAAACCAGGACGAAGGTTTTTACCAGAAGACAAACCCTGCTGGACATCCGTCTGGGGGCACCAGAAATGTGGAAATTAAATTCTGTGGTTTACGCCATCCAGCCCCGTGTTTTTGGTGTGGCAGCGCAAGCTGACTCATCCACGTTCTCCACTCTCTGTGAGCAGGAACAGCCTCAGGAGGCCCTTGGGGACGTCGGGACCCAGCTTTGCTCCTCTTCCTACTGCTTTTCCAACTCTCTGGTGAGGAAGGAGGACTCAGGCTTTGTCTTCAGTTTCTGTGCATTAAACATGAATGTTTCCTTGAGGATGAAATTTTTAGCTCGTTTTGCTTTCTCATCAGAATTTAATCAAACATGTAAATTAAGGATTATGAAATGGGCAGATCATCATGTATTGACCAGATGGGCCCTGGTTCAGGTGGTCAATAAAAAGTCTTTGTTAAATGTCTGTCTATCTCCATCCTATAAGGACATCAAGATTTTCCTTAGAAGATAGAGATAGACATTTTAACAAAGCTTGCAGAAGAGAAGCCAATTTGAAGACAGACACAGAGATTGAAGTGACTTGGACACAGAATTCTCAGGAAGGAAACAGAATCATTGCTTCACTTTGTGCAGTTTGTTTGTAGATGAGGTGGGCTTGGCAGAAACATTAACAAGCACAGAGGAAAAGCGCACCACTTAATCGCACAGCTGTGAGTACAGTTTTATAGGATTTCTAAACATTTTTTTCCAAGAAAAAGTAAAAAACAATACTTCGACCATTTGGAAACAGGTTCAGCTTAGACAGGTCTACAACAGAGTCTGAAGGTGCAACATATGAACAACCCTGTTTCTTCCAGTTCCGAAGAGATGGATTCTCAGAAGCAGAAGATACACATTCACGGAGCCTTCATTCCCTGAGCTCTCTGTGTTCCAGAGTGTTTATCTGTGAACCGATGCTCCGGTGAGTGACAATTTACAGTTAGTGAGATAATGCAGACAGCTTCCACCCCAGGTTCCTTGCAGCCGGGAATCCAGTCACAGGACCTGCAGCTTCACAAAGGGACGCTCCGTGGGTGACCTTGTCTTAATTCTCAACCAAAGAGAAACTCTCCCCTTTTTTCAAAAAGAACCTTCATTGTGGCCCAGGTGGGGAACAGGCCTCTGTGTTTCTCAACCTCATCCACGGTAGTGTTGATTTGGACACTTTGGACTAATACCGTCTGTGGAACAAAGTCTACAGAGTTGGAAACAGTGATATATAAATGAGTTAAAGATGACCCATGTGTCCTGGCCCCTATGTCGTTTATTTCAAAACTGTGTTTACTTCTTAATGGCCTGTTTCAAACTCAAATTTTAAATGCAATTATTTTAAAAACACCCCAAGGAAGAATGTTTTTAATCTTCTAGAATGTACTTACTTTGCATGTCGAGAAAATTTCAACCACTTCTGCTAGCAATAAGATACACCCCAGTTATGCAAACCTTAAACCAGAAACTCCCCACTGTGATGCTGTACGGCATCCCCCAGACACACAGCCCCTTGTCCAGTGACCCATCTGTTTTGAGAAGAAACCCTGGCATCTTATTCTCTGTACAGATTCCTGCTGGGAGAAACTTGTCTCTGCAAACCTGTCAAAGCCTCACTCAATAAAGTCATGTATGCGACTGCCCCCTGTGGTCATCTCTTCTCCTTGTTCAGCCCACAAGTCCTTCCAATCCCCTACAAATCAGATCACAGTGTCCACCCCAAACACTGACTCCAGGGTCATGAACACAAACAATTCCACTTCTAAGACTCTCTTCCCAAGTCCTATTAATAATGCAGTTGCTCCCAATTCTATGGACCCCAAACTAACTGCACCAGGAAAAGGAGACACAGCCACAATAAACCCCACCTGTATAAGTCCTCCCTCATTCGGGTGACCATGGTTCATGTTAGAGACACAGAGGCCTGTTGTACACCTAGATCCGAATGGAGGTGGTTTTGACATCTTCTGATCTTTGTCCACTGTGGAGTGACTAGCTTCTCCTGCTGTTGTCAAAGTCTTGGCATAAGTTTCATAGGAAATAGCAAGGCTGTCTTAAATTGATACACCTTAAAGAATATTTTGCAAAAATAGCCTTTTCAATAATTGACTTTTAGTAAAAGAAATCATGACAATTTTTTTGCTGTTACTCACTTTCCTGCAATTCAAGTTTCCATATTGGATAATGGATAGAACTGATTCTTCACTTAACACCCTTTGAGAACAATTATTTAGAACTTGCAATGAGATGCACCATCTCGCTCTATGTTAGTTTGGCTGATTGTTTTGTGTTTTCTTTTTCTTTTTCTACTGCCTCTGATGTTTCTTTTTTCCACTATTTTCATTAATTAGGAGTCTGACTTTTTAAAGACTTAGAAGCAGATTAGACTTGGTTAATAACATAAGAAAAGAAAAAGTCAGGTACATGAAAGTTATTCAATTTAATGAAAAAAGAGTAAATAAAATTGAAATAGTATAATATAAGCCTTTATTCTAATCCAACCTCTTAAGTACAATTCGATCTCCTTAACCCACATTATTGCAATGGAGTTCAATATTTAAAGATTAATATCATTGCTATTCAATTATTTTTTCCAGTCTTGGAAAAGATGTTATTTTGGTAGATATCCCGGAAGATATTTAAACCAAGCCTTCCTCTGGAATCTTACCTAGAACTAAATTTGTTTGCATTCTTGGGCAATTAAATGTAAATTTCTGCTAAATTACTCAAGATTACATAGCACTACAAGCTAGTCTTTCAATTGTTACCGGATTTTTTTTTTTTCCAGAAATGTCACTGTCCTTGTGATGGTGTTTGATGTCGGCACCATTATTCAGGAGCTGTTCAATTAAATATTAAGTACATCACTAACAAATGAATAAACATGAGATTGTTTCCCTTTGTAACGATCAGCTATGGGGCAGATTCACATCCCTGAGCTGTGCGCATCTTTACATGAAACCATGAAAATGTCAGTTTCAGGTACAGGTTACCCTGAGACATCAGACTGTAGATGCAGTCCTTGTGCTTCTCATGTAGACAATTTCCTTCTGAACTGCAGACTCATGGCTGTGACTGCACCACATCTAGGCTAGGGGTGATTCAGGTGTCACTCAATGTTAGCAACAACCTGGAAGCCCTGATAAGACCTGATCCCACATGACCAGGGAGATTGTGTGAAGAGAGTTTTCCGAAGTACCACTCGGGAAAACATCATGCAATGTGATTTCTTATTGGTCTGTATCATTAACCAAGGACATTCTTACCTATGAGATCCTGCTGGTTAATCTTGTATATGTGAGATGATTATGATGGGATTACCCCAGATTGAACAGTTTGTCACCACGAATTTTACATTCACTGCCTGAGGCACAATATTCTTGTACCTTTTCCTCTTACTTATGCTGGGCTCTTGGTTCTAAACGTAAAGACCCACATCATTCGCCCTTTGAGGCCCTCAGACAGAACACTCTTTTGGGACCTACTTACCAGGTCCCAGGGAAAGGGAGATTCTAACACTTGCATTGAAAGATCTTCAACAGTTTTACTGGAAACAGCAGACACCAGGCAACACTTGAACTGGCTCAGGAGCACTTTTCCTTTGCAGGCCCTCTGCCCTTCTGTGCTTGTGGGAATGGGGCTGTTTTCTTCTCTAGACTGACTGGAGGGAGTCATGCAGGATGGCATTCACCTCCCAGAGATGCAGCCTGGAAACACATTTCCACATTGTCAGGGTCCTTGTGCTTTCTCAGTGTGGCATGCTCTGTACAATGTGTCCCTGCCCGAGGTCCCAACTAGCACAGTCAGAGCCTTCTTCCCTTGACCACATGCAAACTTGACTTGAACTATGTTTGTTTTGCTCCAGCAAACATTTTATGTCACATTGTTCACAGAAGAGACATTCCCCCTGCCCCATCAACGTTTTCCACACCACTGCACCCACCAGGGGATTTGCATACTGTCCCCTAGGGAGGACCTTCCCTTGTGAGTCTGAGATAAAAGCTCAGCTCTAACCTTGCCTTGACTGATCAGGACTCCTCAGGTCACCTTCTCACAATGAGGCTCCCTGCTCAGCTCCTGGGGCTGTTAGTGCTCTGGCTCCCTGGTAAGGATAGGATTAAAATGAGGTGGGAAAACAGAGTGGGAGGGTGAGTTCTGTGGGCTCCACAGCTTTCTATATTTATTTTAACCATGTGTACAGGCACATGGTCTGTGCTCCAGCAAAGATAATTCATGTTTTTCTCTCAGGAATAAGCATGAATCATCTCCCAGGAACAATGATCAGTGCTCTGGTTAAGATTTTGAAAATAGAGGGTTCCCTGTTGGCTAATAAATACTGGATTCATTTTAGAAAGTCTATTTTTTATGATATAAATCAAAACTTTAAAAATATGTAACCATAAATCAAAATCTTAAGGGAAATCATGAAAGTTGCTCATAATGGTCTATATAACCTTGTACTTCTCTGTTATTATTTCAGGATCCAGTGGGGACATTGTGATGACCCAGACTCCACTCTCCCTGCCCGTCACCCCTGGAGAGCCGGCCTCCATCTCCTGCAGGTCTAGTCAGAGCCTCCTGCATAGTAATGGATACACCTATTTGTATTGGTACTTGCA